TGAATCTTTTTAACAGGCTTTGGAGGTGGGTCCTATTATGTTACCTTTATACAAGTGAGAAAACTGAGGCACAAAGAAGTTGAGAGCCTAGTTCAAGGCCACACAGCTAGTTAACGCAGAGCCAGAATTCAAGTCCTGGAAACCCATAAACTGAATGGCAATGTTCAATTGCTACATTTTGTTTGCTGAGTAACCTACTGTGAAGGGTGCTAGCTGGCAGTGCACTTAGCACTTGCCTTTCCTGGTGGCCCAAACTACTTGCTCTCCCCACCAGGTCCTCTTGAAAGTCTCCTAGATCCTTGGCACTAGGCTCCTCTTCCTGTCCCCTCAGCGCGCCCCCCCCCCCCCCAACTTTGTGGATTCAGCCTGTGCTACATTTCCAGGAGGTTGTAGCTGGTAACGCCGCAGAACGTTCTGAAAGCTGCCTGGGTACCAAGAACGCAGATCTTTACTTAAGAATGAACGTTGTTTGCGCTGGCTGGAAGGTGGGGGCTACATCAGAAATGAAAGGTTGTTGCTACCATTCTGGCGCCGCCACGGAATGAGGGTACGGTCTCCCTCTGGTCTTCACCTCTTTTCAGCCAGAGCTCTCTGGTGAGCCTCTAACTCCCCCGACCGACATGTCCTCATCTACGCTGCAGGATCTGGGGATCCGGCCCGGCCAGGGGCGCAGAGGCCGCCTCCCTTTCGGCCTGTCGGCTGGCCTCAACCGCCGCTGCCTCCCAAGTAGAGTTTGGAACCCGCTTGGCGCTAAGGCACAAACGAGCGTGGAGAGCGGGCAGGGGGTGAGTAGGGGCCCTAAATCTTCAAATCTGTGAGTAGATGAAGTCTGAGAAATAAATTCAAAGCAGGCGCGCCTGCAGAGCCTTCCTGCAGAAATATGCCCCGGCATTCAAGCGCATCCAGTGGCGGCCCGAGCTGCCTTGTTTGGCTAAGGTCAGACGAGACTCAAGTTCTCCAATAAAAATAAATCTCAAATTAATTATGCCCTCGAGCGAGGGGCCAGACACTTGAAGCTGCAGTTGTGCAGTCTGGAGTTTTGGCGCTGGCTTGCCAACATCCCCCTCTACCCCCGCTGCCCCGGTCTTCCCGCCCTCCTCCCTCTCCTCTTCCCCCTTTTCTCTCCCCTTCTCCCTTTGCCAGTTCGAATCCCCTCAGTGGCCGCGCTGGATCCTGGGAGGGTGAAGAGGACCGAGGGACAGAAATTTGTCCGGGACACTCAATCCGACCTGGCATCTTTGGAGGTTTCAAGCGACAGAATCGCTCTGGGATCCGGGGGCACCCCAGGAGCCCGGCTCCAGTTGTCGCCTCCCCTCGCTCCTAACCCTGGCTGGAACCAAAGGAGCCAAGGAAGCCGCGTCTGGAAAGCTTTGACCCGGTCAAAAGGGCTGACATTGAGCGAGCCAAGACACGTCTAGTCCCGCCACTCTCTTCCCTGGGGAAGCAGGACTTCCGTATCTTTGAAAATACTGTCTAGTGTGGATGATGCTAGGCAAGTTCTCTCCACCAACATTCCAAAGAGAGTGCCCCAAATTAAAATATGTCTTGAATACTAGCCTTGAGGCACACACTTTCTATAAGTAACCCCAAATTGAGAAATGTGGGGTGGGCTGTTTCGTTGTTGGAATTTTTCCCAGTTGGTAGGGTTTTTGTTTGTTTGTTTTGTTTTAATGTTCAGGGTCAGCTCCTTGGCTGTGAGCGTGTCTCTTGACTTGAGAGCCAGCCTGGGCTGGTGGAATGGATGTCCATGGTACCAGACACCAGCTTCTGGCCACCAGCCCTGCCTAGTCTGGGAAAGAGATGCAGGGCAGTCTCTGGTGAGCCAAAAAAGAGGGTGTGTGCAAGTGTGTGGTTGAGGGAACCAGCCCCCAGTTAAGCAAAGAGAGGGAAGAGGGAAGGGGCCAGAGGAAACAGGAAGGGATTTTTCCCCCCTTACTCCAAGACAGTTTTCATTTGTAGTGGGCCTCACCACAGGCTCTCTATCAATTTGTCTCAATGCAAACATTCAAAATATTCTCTTTGGCTGCTCGTGAAAACAATGTGAGCTGCCAGGATCAAACCATCTTTCCAGATGTCTGGTGGTAACCACATTAAACAGGGCAAACTTGTTTACTGTTGTGTTTGGTTAGGGCTTTTTTCCCCTTTGGGATTTAAAAAAGAAGTAGCAGCAAGGCTGAGCATCAAACCCAGAGTTACATAAGTGGGCAAATTTGTCCACTGGTATGTCAGTGGGGGTGGAGAGAACCTGATATTCCCTCACAGAGCTGCTTAGGGTACAGGGGCTCTTGTCTGCGTGGAGACCCCTATGGAAGGGCAGGAGCTGTCTCTCCAGGGGAAGGGACCTGCAAAATACTAAGAGGCATTGGTACCAGTGCTTTGTCCCATGAGTTACCCAGGGCAATGGTTATACCCAGGCCACCCTCTCTCTTCCTCCTCTTTCCCTCTCCATTTTGAAAATTGCGAAATTGCCCTAGTTTTACAGACAGAAATAAAAAGTGCTATTGACTTCCACAGTTAAACAGAAAGAGGGAGACTTCTCATAGCCATTCCATATTGAGCACTCCAAGGGAAAAGGTAGCTCCGACAAAAAAAAAAAAAAAGAGGGGGGGGGGTATCAAAATAGTGGATAATATGGGCAAAATATTGAATGCTGCAGAAAGCATCAAAAGAAGATGGAATATACAGAGAGTCTATAAAAAAAAAAAAAAAAAAAAAAAGTTTGGTGTTAATGGGGGTAGGGGTGGGGGTGTAGAAGGAATCAGTAAAGTGAAATCAATCTTTTGTTTCCCAGGACTGATCAGGGGATTGGGAAAAGAAACCTAGCAAATATATTTGCATGTTTGCTACCAAAGCTGGGGAGAAGTGTGTGTGTAGGGGTGGGGGTGGAGGAGTCGCCTGCCTCGAGTTAGGTGGCCTTTAAGAACCCAGTGATTGCCAGCACCAGGAAGGGCCATTGGCTGGTCGAGTTGGATTCTTTTAGCAGGGTACTGTGACTGAGGGTGCATGGGTTTCTGGTGAGGTCGGGGTGGGAAGTGATCTCCCCAAACCCTCCTGAAAGCCCTGTTGTCTTTTGAAGGTCGGCAGAGTTTGGGCTGAAAAGGAAACAATTTAGGGTTTGAAAGGATGTAATTCATTCTTCCTTTCCCTTTAACCTCTTTCCTCTCTGGAAAGCATGTGGAAATGCTGAAGGGAAGAGCAAGCGGCCAGGCAGGCGGGCCGCGGGCAGAAAAGGGTTAAGCCTGATTTCTTTTAATTGAACTCCAGAGCTGGTGGCCCCAGGCAAAGGGGGGGACGACCCCGCTAGCGGTAACCAGATGTGGCGGTCCCAGGGGAGCCCCGGAGCAGACCCCTGGATTGAGAAGCAGACAGGAGGGGGGGGAGTCCGCCCTGCCCCCATACTCCTCCTCACCCCCGACAGCCCCAGCATACGCGGAGTCTCAACTGCTGGTAGGCTGCGGCCACCACTCCGGGTCTGGTCACGTTCAGACCCGTGTCTGTATTCGAACACCAAATTGGAGCGGAATTGATGCGACTAATTTCGAGAGGGGGGAGGGGGGAAGGAGGGACAACAGCGAACTCTCAGGTTCAATTGCTCCTGAAGAAATAAAGAATTAATGTCACCTTTACTGCCGCTGTGGACGCCCTTTTGAAAAAGTTTCATTCCAATTGACTCGGATCTTCTCTGGATATTTTTCCTCCTTCTCGGGGCGGACTCTTAAATAAAAGTGAGACAGTCCAAAGTGCGGTCTGGAGAGCGTGGACAAGGTAACCTGTTTTGGAGGTCGGGGAGAAGGGAGTCAGACCAAGAGCGCTGGGGTCTCTTCGCTGGATGGACACCCCCCAAGCTGCCTCAGCTGGAGCGTGCGGCCGCACAGCAGGGGGACGAAGGGTATATCTCCGGGTGACAGGGGCCAGAAGTGCTGGCCAAGGGAAGGTCCGGCTCCTGCCTGGGTGGGATACGTTCCGGATCCCAGAGGCGCAGGGAGAACCGAGGGTCCGTGTGGCAATATGCGTGCTGCGCTCCGGGAGTCCACAGATCTGCAAGCAAATAACATTGGAGGGCGGGGGAGGAGTCGGGTAGGCGACTCTGGCCCAAGTTCCATGGGTTGGTGTCTGGGTAAACTTGGGTTTGAACCACGAAAGAGCCTATAGGTGGCCTGGGTGCCACCGGTCCCCGCTCTCCGCTGGTTCCGGGAGCTCTCTAGGAGCAGAGGGCCAGGTGGCAGCGCCCCAAGGGTGCTGCCTCAGAACAATGCTCTGAGCGGAGTCTGAGTCCTTAATGAATCGGGTCCTCCCGAGACTGTCCCGAGTTCGTGCGGACTAGTAGGGAGTCGCGCTCAGAGTGGCTGCGTCTCGGCTAGGAAGGCGCGAGTGGAGAACTTCCTATGGATACACTTTTTAGTTGTACCCTTGCTTGGCTGGTATCGGGGTTTACCCGGCAGAAAGCACCAGTTTTTCCCCAGCCGGAGTAAATTCCCGCCGCAACCCCCTTCCACCCCCATTTTTTTTTTCTTGTTAAACTAGGGCTGGAAAAAGCATTAATGAACGAATCTGTGGGAAGAAACGGAAAGTGAATGAGTCAGGAGGGCCACCTTTTGCCAACAGCCCCGGGAAAAGAAAAGAGGCCAAAGCGCTTGGTTTCGGACTTTTGGGGAAGGTGAAGGGGGCAGACTGTAGCAATCAGGGCGTGAGAGCCTGGCATGGCCCTCGGCTTTGTTCCCGGCGCGTTCTTATCTCCCAAGAGCCAGTATCCTGTGTGCTCCGCGCGCGAGTGTATCTGTGTATCTAGCATACATTTATATAGTGTGTGTGATGCGAAAAGCAGGACGCGCAAGGACAGGGAGAGAGGGTGTGGGGAGGGAGGACGAGGGAAGCAGAGGGGAGAGGAGAGAGAGAGAGAGAGAGAGAGAGTAAGAGAGAGAGAGAGATAGGACTTCCTCTCCGATTCTCAAAGTGAAGTCACTTCCCAAAATTAGCTAAAAAAAGTTTCATCCGGTTAACTGTCTCTTTTTCGCTCCGCTACAACAACAAACGTGCGCTGGGGAAGAGGGCAGGGCGCTCACGGGGGACGCGCAGGGAGGGCCCGAGGCGCCAGGAGGCCGCGCCGGGCGAATCCGCAGGGGCTGCTAAGGGAGGCTGCAACCGGGTCAATGTGTGGAATATTGGGGGGCTCGGCCGCACACTTCGCCAAATGGACGGGACTATTAAGGTAAGAGGCCAGCAGACACTGGCGGGCTGGGCGCCGGGCGCGGGGTCCCGGAAGACGTGGCCGTCTCTCTGCCTCCCCCTCCCCGGTTTCGCGCCGACTCCACCCGCGCCCAAACAGCGAGTGCCTTGCCGGGAGCTGGGACTCCGGTGGGACTCCTAGCCCCAGCGATCGTCCCGCACCCTGGACCCCAGAGCGGAGAGCGGCCCCTCCCACTCAGCGGCTGCCCGGCTGCCGGCGGGGCGCCGTGGAAGCCCGGGGACCCAGGGCGTGGAATCCGAGCTAGAGCCGAAGCCGGGAGTGAGCCCTACAGGTCCCTACTGCCCCTCAACCGGCAGCCCTGGCTCTGTGGCCCAGACGCTGGGCATCGCCTGGCTGCCGGCTTCCTCCCACCCGAGGTCAAAGAGGCGGGGGCGGAGGTGCAGCCGTCTCCAGTCAGGGTCCCGACTGGCGGGCCCTAGCACCCGCAAGTGAGTTAGCTGCAGGAGTTCGGGGTGCACACTAGTGTCTGCGGGTCTGTCTGCGCCTCCTCCCTGTTTACATGTCAGTGAGGCCGGTTTCCCTTCTCTGTTCGCTCTGTCTGTAGCCCGGTTCACGGCGCTGGCAGCTGCCCACCCGGGGACTATGGAGTCAGCTTCTATTGCCTCTCTGGTATGGACTATCCTTCCCCGGCCTGTGCCCCCTCCGCCGCCAGCGCCCTCCTCCGCGTCTTCAGCGTTCAAGAGTGCTCCCTCTCTAGAGGACAGATTTCAGCCAGGCTTCTCAAGAGGGTCTATGCCTCTCGTAGCCGCTACTTTCCCCGCGGGCCCGACTCCTGCCCAGTGTGCATCCCTCACCCCCCACTAGGGTCTTGGTTGTAAGGAGCAGCCCAGAGGCAAGATGAGGGTCTGGTTCCTTGGCCGACTACAGGAGACTTGACTGCCCGCTCTGTCTGAAAAAGGAAACTGGGGCCAGGAGCCGAGAGGAGGGACACCCCCTAAAGTGTCTAGCAACACAGGGTAGGCAAAGGCCTGCGTTCCCAACCTCGACCTGGGAATGAATGGAACCAGGCGTCTGCTGTGAGGCTGAAGTGCACAACGAAATGAGTTTGTCTGGAAAGCCCATTCGACTGGCAGAGCTCGCCATACCCCCAGAATCCAAAGGAATCAACTCCTCTCCGAGGGTTGAGTAAGGGGAGGTTAAGATGTTGCGTTTGGAGAATTCAAGGGATTTTTATCATCTGAGTGAGGTTTAAAGAGTGTGTTTTCCATTTTCTTGATTTTTATTGTTGTTTTCTGGAAGTTTGAAATATGCTGACTTAGGTAAAAGGCGCCAACGGAAAGAGCTGTAAAATGTAGAGATTCGATAACTGATTATAATGGGTGAACGGGAGTGTAGGTGAGTCCGGGTTCCTCAAGCTTAAATGTGAGTGAGGAGTGGGTGAGAGAAGATTTGGGGGGAGGGAACCATTTTATGTCTGCTTCTCTCCTTCCTCTTGGTGTATGCCGACAAGTGTCTGTATCTTTCCTGGATTTAGTAAGATGTTCCACTCTATAAAACTCTCCCTTGGTCAGGACACTTGCCTACTTACCCAGAAGGCCTTCGTCCTCTCCGGAAGGGTAGCAAAATGGCTCCAGGGTCTTGACATATCTCTGCACTGCTCAGACCTCTAAGCACAGGCCCTGAGCAAAGAGAGGAAGCTGTGGGCTGCTACCCAGGATATGCTAACCTCTTCAGACACATGCACGGAGATTGGCATAACAGGCAGTGAGAATCGACATGGACTGGGAACCTGGCACTTCATGCCTAGGATAGGAGTACAGGTCTTCTCTTCATGCTGGGAGTGGGTTCCTGCATATCCCTAGGAACACCCTTGTCTCTCACTGGGGTTTACTTGACTATGAGAGGCACTCACAGAGCAATGGCTTATCACGCTATCTTCAGTCCTGACAGTTCAAAAGCAAGAAATCTTTAGTGTATACTTTGGTATTAAAATTGTGGAAAAGTCCAATTTCCTGTACACATAGAGCTTTTGAATGTTGGGGTTCCAGGACCCACTACACACCCACTCCCACATGGTTCAAGAAGACAGTTGGAGAAGACTTGGTATTAGGAGAGAGACCTGCTGAGATCTGGCCTGGCTGTGAGAAAGCATAATCCATTAAACCTAGTTGAGATTCTGAATCATCATCTGTAATCAGTTTCTTTCCAATCTGCTCTAGTTCTAAAATATTAAGCTCACATGCTCTTATAAGAATACATTCCTCCATGTCCACTAAACGCAGTTCTGTGTTGATTGCAGTCTGAGGACATTATAGATTGGATGTAATTTGGGGGCACAAATTCAAAATGTGCATTCGTAGTTTGAAAGACCTTTAATAATTAGCTTTGAGTGATTCTGGGTTTTATTCGCCTGCATACTTTGTCCTCAAATATAAGACATGTCTATATTTTAAAATATCTGTGGGTCTTCGAGCTCAGGAGGCATTTGGTCTGAGAAGTCAGGGGTTTCTTCACAGAAACTCTTTATTTTGCACATAATTTGCACAATTCCATGTTGTTACAAAATCATTACCATGGCAAGTTACTAATTCAGTTGTCCTTATTATGTTAAATTCTTCAGTGGCTTGTTATCTTCTTTCAAACAAGTCTTTCTCAGGAAGGCTCTCGGCATCACATTGGGACCACCAAAGTTGGTGGGATTCATTCCACTTTTCTTTGACCATGGACAAATTAATCTGTGATATAAAATAACACCCTGCCTCCTCACCCATGCTCCTCACAGTGATATTATCAGTGTTGATGATACTGGTGGCTGCTTTAAGAAATGACCTAATTTCAAAACCTGCATGTTCGTTCTGACAGGCTTTAATTGAATCCGATTTTTTCATCTGTACAAGTATAACTCAAGCACATAGTATCATTAAAGATGGAAAGCAATCACCTTGGATAAAATAGGGACATTAACAGGGGACTTGGAATCCGAAAACCTGGGTTTATTCTTAGTTGTGCTAGTTAGGTACTATGTGCCCTTCAGCAAGGCACTTGGGTCCCTGAATCTCAGTTTCCTCAACTATAAAATGGACACCAAAGCACCTCTTTGTCACAGTTTCAGTGAAGTATTACAGTGTGATACTTTTGTTGAAAAGTAGTCCTAATGGTGCAATGGTTAAATGCTTGGCTGCTAGCCAAAAGGTTGTTGGTTCAAACTCACTGGTCATTCGACCAGAAAAAAGACCTGGAGAATTCCCTCCATAAGATTTCAGCCTGGGGCAACAGCACATCACAACAATTTTAGATGGAATGCACTAAAATTGAATTTTTCCTTTGGCATAGGACTTGTAGGGATTTATTGGTCAGAAAACTAGATCACAGGTCTGGATTGTTATGATCCATATTTCATTTATGCAAAAAGTATTTATCATGTATCAGTTACTTTCCAAGGAGTCACTGGGTGGCACAGTTAAATGTATGGCTACTAAACTAAAGGTTGGAGGTTTGAGTCCTTTCAGAAGCACTTTGGAAGACTGGCTGTGCAGCTCAGTTCTACTATGACATACATGGAGTTGCCCTGAGCTGGAGTCAACCAGATGACAATAGGTTTGGTATTTAAAATTATGTTCCAGGACTCTGTTTTGTGTATTGAGAGTAAAATAGAAATCAACACTTTCCTGTAGTTTACACTTTAGCAGAGGTACAGATATAAAGAAAGAAAGAAATCCATGCCTGGTGGTCACACATCTTCTAAGTAGGGGCTTAGAAAGTGACTGAGATGTATCAGGATGGTCAGGGAAGGTGTGTCTGACAAGGTTACAATTGAGCTGAGATGCAATTCATTTTCATTCTTCACCTCAGGAAAGACACATTTACCATATAACCATAAATGATGAAAGAACAGGGAACCAAGAAAGAAAGGTTGGTTTTTCAGCTGGACTCTGAGAACCAGGGAGGTCACTATGGCAGGGAGACCTAGGAGGGTGGTTGTCAGTGACAGGGCAGTACTTGTCCCAGTGAGAATCATGGCATGGTCCTGGAAGGAAGCAGCAGAGTGAGGAACACATGGAAACAAACTCTATATGTCTGTCTTCAAAAAGAGATGTTGCCTGCACCCACTTTTCCTCCTTTTCTTACAAGATAGGCTTCATTAGTTTATTGACCCCGCAGAATTGCTTTCCTCAGGTTGTTTTCAAATGCTAAACCCTTTTCGTTTGTGAATAATTTCTACAAAAAAAAGCTTCCTTACACTTCGGCTGCTACTCAGTCAGGTTTATAGATTTGTAATTTCAGTGCTTCAGAGAATATTTAGCTTGACATTCTCATTTTATAGTTGGGAAACTGAGACTCAGGGTCTTTAAGTGAATTGCCCAAGATCATGCACCCATGGAGTCAAGATGAGAATTCTGGGCTCCAAATCCTCAAGCCATGTTCTTTCCACTATGCCATGATGATTTCATTTAGATTCATTACATTATAGTGAATTATAGACTCCTAGAAGGAATGCACGTGTGTGTATGAAAGAGAAGAGATTACAAATAATTGGCACTTGAGATTTATTCATTGAATAAATTCCTTTATTCATTGAAAAATATATTACTATAATCTTGAATTAGTTCCCTACCAAAAAGTAAACACAAACTTCTAAGTAGGATTTTTGCATTTGTTTTCCAGAACAAATATCTTTTTTCTGTAGACAAATAAAATCAGATTTTCAATACCAGACACAAGAAAAACTATAGTATTTCATTTAAATAACTAATGGGTTCCTCTACAGACCATGTGTAGGTAGACTGAGTTCCTATTTCAACACTTTTTTATTCGTCAAATATTTGACTATTTAAATACATTCATGTGTACTGGGCCACATCTTTCAGTCTGTATACTAAGTAGATTTTAAATAATAGTGGCAATAAATTAGATTCAAGATTTCTACATCCCCTTCTATTTGTAGTTAATTTGGTTTAAGAATGTGGTTGACTTAAGCTATACCTATTTTATAGAAATATGGTGTGAGTCTCTTGTCAGTA